ATTTTGATTTTTATGAATTTTTACCAAAGTCACTGTACTGTAGTACAGGGTCTTGGGCCAAACTTTATCAAAAGTGAAAAGGAAAAAATTCTCCATTTTATTACATTTTTGATACATTTAAATGTTGTTTATTGAGTTTGAGCTGATTCGAATCAAAATTGGATTTTTTATGAATTTTAAAAGTCATGTGCTGTATTGTAATCATACTGATATCTACTGATATGATATGTATTATGTACTGTAGAGATATTCCCTTAGTACGTTGACCTGAGCACCTGTTATTAAATAGAACAGGAGGAGAGAGAAGAGGAAGTACAAATGTATAGGAAACCTGTGGCTAGGAGGAGACCAATAAGACATCAAACATATACTTACAGGTAATGATGGGTATAATGATAGTGAATCCTTTATTATGTGTGCAGAGTTAGCTTTAGTGTAGATCTATAAGCACTTTTTGAATTTGTCCTGTAGTTATTTACTTTTTGTTTGTATCAGGTATATACAGTGTCTCATCCAGGACTATCAGTTCAACGACTCTAGAGTTAAAGCTAAAATTGAGTAAATGAAAGAAAAGGAGATATACAATGTAATAGGTAAAAGACAAAGGAAAAGAGAAAGGAAGAAGAAGGGAGTGGGAGAGTAGACAAGATGTGGACAACTGTCAGTTCTTTATTCTTTTCTTTCCTCTACAGCTACCATGACTTGCTTCCACAGCTTCAAACTTGTCAACACCATAACTACTGTACATGTATGTGTTCAATAATATTATTTTCCATGGCATACCATACATGCTGTACTCCAGTAATATTACAGAATACAGTTCAATGAGTCCATACTGTTTTGTACATGTAGTTCACTAGAAATTAATAATTATTTCGTGTTATTATACTGCAAAAAATTTTTAATCTGTTCAGTGCAGGTAGCATTTATCACATTCCAGTAGTTACTCTCACTCATTTTTCCTTGCACCTTCTCCCTTATATGGTCAATTGATCTATGATAGAAAGCTTTTGTAAGCAATAAATGGAAATGCAGCAATGCAGAATTATCTTGATAGTTGATACATGTTTATAATTATGCACATGATATGATGGTAAGAGTAGATATTCATTACAGGTACACACTCATGTATACATATTTATTTTGCTTTGGCTTCTCAATCTAGAGCACTATATGCATGTGTTTTTAAGAAGGAAAGAAGGCAATAGGATTGTCCCAGTTCTATCATCTAATTGCAATGTTTGTTGTTGTTGTTGCAGAAATTGATTTATTTATGCTTTAAAGTGTTAAAGGTGCACTTTTACAGTGACAATCATCAGTAAATACTAGAGCCTCAGCACATAAACTTAGGCAACTGCATGGGACAGCTGATAAATGATAATATAACTTTTCTTTAACAGTTAAAAATTTTTTAAATATATCAGCTAAAACAGTGAACATTCATGCAATAAAATATTGGTGTGCCAAAAATTTCTTTATTCTGAAATTCCACTGTACATGTATGTATAATTTTGTGTTATATTTTTTAAGCATTTGAATGGCATAATGCTATGTGTTGATGTACATGTACATATACATTGTACCATGTTTTGATGGAGCATAATGTATTTTTAAGGAAAGTACGCACTCTATGACATAAAATAATGACATTAAGTTACCGTGTTAAATGCCTCATAGATTATAGTCTCGCTGGGCCAGCCCCTTCCTTTAGGGGCCCCTTCCCCTAAAGCAAGGGGCTGGCTCGGCGAGACTACATAGATTAATACATAATTTTGTATCAATAATTCATTGATACAGTATATAGTTGTTTTAGCAAATTCTTAGAATTGGAGTGTATAATCATAAACAATACTCTTAGATTACCACAACTGATGCTCTATTACTATTCCCCCCACTGTTTGTTCACTCCCTTTTATGCGTACAGGCAAATGCATATTATAGTTAATACACAACATGTACTCTTATCATATTCAGAGTCCTTCTTACATATTTTGTTAAGAATTAATGTATTCATTGGCTCCTCTATGTGTAATGTACATGTATATCAAACATGAAAGCAATGCACAGCTAAGCATGATTCATTTTCAAGCTTTATAAAATTGGATGGTTCTCTCTTCACATTATTCTCACTCCATTATTCTGATCATATCACCCACTGGTGGCAGAGAAAAGCAAAGCCTTTTATTTTGCAATGGACTGAACACAAGAAGTACTAGTACAATAATTAACAAGTTAATTTTTGATAATAAAAGTAATTTATTTCTTGAATTTACTTTGTCAATTGCTACATTTTTGTGTGAGTGCCAGCTTGTTTAGGCATAAATAAACTATTGTTGCTAGAAATTGTCTATAGATTAGAACAAATAGGGAGAGCAGAGTTGGAAACCGTATGGACAATTTATTACATTACTTGCAATAGTTTGCTCAAATTTTAGAGCCATTGGTTTCTAGAGCATAATGCAATGTTCCATGAAAGTTCCCACATACAGTATAATATGATAGCATAATAATGTTACAGAAAATAAACCCAAAAGCATTCCCCAGTCTGTTATACCTCAAAATGTCAGTTAATGGTTTATACTTTGACAGTAACATTTATCTCACTGTTTGTGTGCTCTTTCTATTTTGGCCCTACAGGGATCTACTTTTATAATGATGTACAACATTGCTTTTTTGATAGAGCTTTACGTTTGGTTTTCAATTTATGCACATTTTTTATGACGCTAAAACTTTTGGATTAATATTATAGCAGGTGTACTTATTATACCTTTTATTATGAAATTACTTTTGCAAATTCTTAGAATTTATTGTTTACTCAGTAAAAACCACAGTATGTTATGCTCCCCAAGTTCACTTTTTACTCCCTCTGTTATATTTCACTGTGTATAGAAGCAGGTACTTCCTAAGCGCCAATGCTTAGTTTATAATTAAAAACTTTCAATACTCTTGTCATATTCAGACTCTCTTTTTTCTATAGAGCTAATTCATATTGTTTTGATTATTAAGATCTATTATTATCAGTACAAGTCTGACAACATACTGCATGTACCCTATCTATTATGTGTTAATGTTGATCTTCATAAGGAGGACAAAGTAATTGTCATTCACTCATTCATAATGAATGTATCTCTAATGGGTTTATATAACTCTGAATTGGTGCATTACATTCTTGTTTGTTAAGAAGAATGTATACAATAAACTTGTTGATCACAAACAGTGGTTACCCTAAATCTTATTAGAACTCTAATACATGAAGCACTGTTGATATTTTAGTTTATACACGTATCTGTTAGTTGGTTTACTTAGTTACTGTTCTTTCTAAAAATGTGACCATAATTGACAAAAGGGCCCTTATGGCGGATTTTAAAATTTATCGTTATAATGGAAAATATCAACCTGTGAGTGCTTTATTAGACAATCATTGTTTCTAAAAGTTTCATGGTAACTTTTTGCATCCTGTGGAGTAATTTTATCATAAATGGGGCTCAGGAAGTTGGATTTCTTAGGCTAGAAAGACAAATTTCACTACCCGCCATAAGGTACCTTTTGTCAATTATGGTCACAAATGTTAATGCAAAAAATAAATGTATATACCGGTATGTACATACATGTTACTCATGCAGTAAAGAGTATTACCAAATGAATCTGTAAAAATGACCAAATTCAGTCGAAGTGTCTCTAATGACAATAATAACTGTGGTAAAGCAGCACAAACTAGTCATTAGTGACCATGGAGCCAATGTGGGTGGGTATGAGACAGTTTCGCCTTTCGCAATCAACGATGAATTTTATTATGTACATTAGGTATTCTATAAAAGCTGCCACTTGTACTGTATTTTGATACAAACTTGTCCTTTTGAACCTTTGCTATTAGTTTTGTGCTACTTTCTTTTAAAATGTTTTCCATTTTTCTCTTTTGCTGTTTTCTTGTCATTGCTTCAAGTGACGGTGCTGTAACTACAAAGAAAAGAGATGTAGCTGCTGTCACTGACTGGGTGCACAAAATCAACAAGAGGCATAGCTCTCAACTGGAAGTACGTCAAAATACTGCCTGTGTAAACCAGCTTCAAAGCAACCTTCCTTCCTATTGCAATTTCACCGAACTTTCAGGTGGTCTCTCAGATCTTCCTACTTCATCCCTCACTGATGCTCAGCTCACTGCTCTCAACAATGCTTACTCTCGATTGTGTGTCTCAGCTTGCATCAATCCAATTGACACCTACTACAATTGTATAGTGACGAATGATGATACCTTAAGGGATTTTCTCGTTACCCTGATTCGTCAAGGTGTTTGTGGACAGGAGAGTGGAGACTATTGTGAGGTGAGGTACATAAGGCAATATGAAGGAGATTACTCAAGTTTACAACGTTTATTAAATGCCTGCACAATTACCTCTGGTGGGATATCCAACTGCAGTTCTGCTTCCTCCACTTGTCTTGCTGATGTTAACACATTCAGTGATAGGATGGGTTGCTGTACTGAGCCATATCTTGGATCTGGTGTCACCTTATGCAGTGGTGTTAGTGTGGATGAGCCTTGTACTGGAGTATCCACTGGAGCATCCACTGCAGTACCCACTGGAGCATCCAGTGCTACTGGACTAGTAGCTCCTGTCTTTGTGATGATACTCAGTTTGGTTGGATTTTTGGTCTGAGGTTGTGTGCCATGAACATATAGAGACTAGCTCTAGTTTAGTTAGCTCATATGTAATACATATATTATTACTGTAGAGTTTGAATTCAGTTTTGAGGTTGTTTTTGATTAAGAAAATTAGTTTTCAATTAACAGTAAATTGCCAAGTTAATTGCACTTTCCGCAGATTGCATCATAAACCTACATTAAAAGTCAGTGATGCATTTATCATCAACGAAGAACTACTTAAATTTGATTTATATGTACATTTTAAGAACAATGCACATGCACCTTCATAATGAACTCTGGCACTGCTTTGACAGTTTAACTGTTTTGAACTTTTGATCACAGGTTGCCTGCTGCATCAAATGCCTAATGATGTCAATGTGTACCACCTTTACTTTATTTATTTATTTATTTTATTTATTTATCAAATTTTACACATGTCCAGCTATTGGAATGGGACTTCCGGTCACATTAATTTAATGATATTCATTGGAATTACCATAGCAACGGCAGCTCAGCAATGGTGGATTGATAGGAAGCTTCACTACAAAGCCTGCTAACGTCTTTCTGGTTCATGGATGGGACTTCACTAGATACTTGGAGCTTCTTGAATGCTACTTAATGCAATTGGTTATGGTAGTTTTTCCATATTCTATTGTTAAAGTGGCAGGCGTGGCGCAAGAAGACTCATCCACTAACAAAAGGCCTTCTTGTTATTACTTTAAAAGGATCTAGAGACATGATTTGCTTGTATAGCTGTTAAGCACTCTTAGTTTTACTTTATTATTCCCGTGAGAAGAGAAAAGCACTTGTTCACTCTTGTTGCTGCACCCGTTATCACCGAGGTTATCACTGAGACGACTAAAATTATTTCACCTTTAGAAGACTGAAGTACCGAACAAAGTTTTGAATTTCTTTATCTTTTTTGCATGATTGGGCAGTAAAAATGTTGTACTTTCACAAAATAAGTGCGCAATTTGTCAAAATTTGTTTGAAATTTAGATATAACCATTCAAAAAGTAAAAAAATTATCATACATACATAAAGGAATGACAAAAATGGCGGCACTGACTGCCTCATCTTTAATCTGCAAATGTTCCACACAAAGTTACTCCAAGTGCTGTCATATTTAGCAGGAACACAGGTATAATTATGGAGAACAGCTACTGAAGTGCGCAAATTGATGAGACTTATTCTGAAGAAAGATATAGCCTAGTAAATGGAAATGTCCATTCCTGCCCTGTATAAAGTCAACCAGTAGTATACGGAGATAATTGCTCAGTATACTAATCCGCGTCCACTCATTGCTGGACATGAAGACTCAAAACATGTGGCATACAGAGAAATAAAATCTATCAGATTGAAGAGTGTCTTGAAGGGTTACCAGCAAGGACTACTGGTACCCTGACCAGCAAGGACTACTGGTACCCTGAAAAATATACAGCAATTCAAATTCCTCCAGCAATGCGCAAGCGTGGATGTCCAAAAGGTCATGCTGTTACTGTAATTGTAATAGAGTATCCAGTGCCACTGGACTAGTTGCTCCTGTCTTTGTGATAATACTAAGTTTGACTGTTGGGTTTTTGGCATGATTAATGATATGAATCTAGAACATGTAGATCTATTATGCATGAACATTTTAGATAACATAGATAATAAAAGACTCCTGGTAATTATTTATTCATCTGTTGGGCGTAGTTCATCAATTAACAATGAATGATATTCAGAATGGTGACAGTTTTGTCACTGTAAATGCAAGGGAAAGTCCTATTTCTAGTGATGTTGAAAGTTCAGGACTAATCTCATCTCATTCCTTACGGAGAGTGAAGCTGCGAAAGAGGAAGCGTTCTACAGAACCTGAGACTGAGTCGACTGGTACTACAACAGAGGAAAGGCCCCAGGCTCTAAGTGTAGCCATCTTGAGCCTGATTTTGAACTGTGACCACCTTCAGAATCCTCTTTATCATTAAAGGATGAAGCAGGATCAAGTGCAGTTGCTGATGAAGCTAAACACCTCACAAAATAAAAAACCACTTGATAGCGACTATCAATCAATTATTAATAAATCAGTGGAAATATTAAAAGAGACTAATAATGGTGATATTTTTGAAGATACATTCCTTTTGTCCCTAATTCTTGGGGTACCAACTGTTATCATACAAGTAATGCACACTATATGAGTAATAATATGACTGCCTACTTGTTCATGGTGTTTTTATTTTTTTTTAGATTTTTGGTGGCTATCAGTTTTATGTGTCTTCTTACAAGTCATTGTTGAAGCATCGTTCAGCTAGCATGGACGTACTAATAATAGCACTGGCTATCACCATAGCCTTTGTTTACTCTGTAAGTACAGGGACATACTGTTACTCCTATGTATGGTGTACATAATGTTATTAATTAGTGGCAATTATCATTAATTGGTTTATTTTTGAATGGCCGTAACTTGAAAATTTGAAGTCAGAATTGGTTCAAACTTTTTACATAGCATAAGGACATCAATATGTATTAGAAAATGTAATAAAAATTTGGGGTCATTTGGAGCTATTTTTTGGAAAAAAAGCATGGGCTAAGCAAGGCTGCAAAAGTCGTGGCAGCCATTTTGTTTGGGGGGTGAATCCTACTTAGTAATGCTACCGCGTTACTAATGGTACAGGGAAAGTCTCAGAAATCAGTATAATTATTTTAAAACTGCCATAGCTCACTGAAAATCAACTCAAACTTAATGTATACATTTGTAAAGACATCAGCTCACTCTCTCTTTCTCTCCAGGCTCCTATTCAGTGTATAGCTGACAAGATATAGCTGGTTACTTTGTGCCTCTCATTCTATTCTTTCCTTTTTCTGCTGTTTGATTGCAAGACTACACTGGAGCCCATGTAAGTGTATGCACTGTTAACACAGGATATACTAATGTATATCCTAATACTAATACTAATATTCATACTTGCATAATATTTTGTGTCTAAAATTTTTGAAAGGGAAAGTGCTTCTGCACAAACCCTGCTTTCAATTCATTAGTATTTCATTATGCATGTACCGTATGTCCTCAAATAAACGCTGAGTGCAAATAAACACCGGGTTAGCAATAAAATGGAAGTATAAATACGCAAATCTAGCCTAGTAGCTTAATAGCAGCATGGATGCCTTGTAGATACCTCCTTAAACTTCCTGAAGTCTCTTGCGTGAGGTCCCGGGTTAGAATCCCACTGTTGGCTCAAAATTTATTTTGTTTTTTTTATTTTTTGAGGTACGAATGTCATTTTAAAAAATTAACGTCTGGGCTTCTATTTAAGGAAATACAGTACATGTATGCGAGAGTCATTGAGTGTGGTAGTTTATAATTATTTTATCATTATTGTGCATGCATTAATTAGGATTATTGTGATTCCAACCATACAGAGTCTGATCATAGCTCCAACTGCTATGACATAAGCCACGCCTTCAGACACGCCCTCACTGGTTTGTTAATAGCCTGCCTGTGTGATGTGCTCTTGGTTTAGCCACACCCACTGCTGTCATGATTGGCACTGGAATTGGAGCTAGTAATGGGATATTAATAAAGGGAGGAGAACCACTGGAAACAACGCACGAAGTATGTACATGGTTTGAAAATTTATTTAATTTTTTGTCCTATTGACATTTTTATTAAAAATTAATAGGATAAGGCCATTATTTTTGATAAAACTGGTACTCTAACTGAAGGGAAACCAGCCGTATCTCATATTATGCCCTACCTGCTCCTTTAGTCGGTTCTTGTCAATAGTGGGTGTGGCCAAGAGCAACAGTGACTACCCTCTGGAAAAAACAATCACTGCCTATGCTAAAGAAGTAAGAAAAGATAATGTCCTCTTACTCTCTTTCTTTAAACTTTTAAATAATGACAGTGAGTCTGATGATGATGATATGCCTACTGTTAGTTTCTGTAAAGGGTAAGTGACTACAATCACTATATCATTCATCATAAATTAATGGACATTTTACGGCATTATTTAAATTTCCTTAAATTATTTGACTACATGTTCAATAGATATGGATTTGCTAATTTTCATAGCCTATAGGTTTATTTTATGTTTTATGGCATTTATTAAGGACAGTTATGAAGCCATAGTAACTTACATAATTAATCTTGCATGCATGTACATAATATTTAAGAGGTACATGTACTATATAAATTTTCTATTTTACTACATTTTTTTATGAAGCACTTTTGTATGTTATGGTAGAAAGTTTGAGTTGAATCCAATCAAATTGGATTTTATAAATTTTTAAAGTTGCTTAAAATTGGGCCAAGGATTGTACAGGGACTTCGGCCAAATTTTGCTAAAAATGAAAAGTAGAAAATTCTTAATTTTTATGTTTTCTGATACATACATATACATGTACTTATGTTGCGTAGAAAGTTTGAGCTAATTCTATTTAAATTTGGATTTTTTATGAATTTTTAAATTTGATCAAAAATTAGGCCAAAGTCCCTGTAGGGTCTCGAACCAAATTTCATCAAAAATTAATAGGAGAGAATTATCCATTTTCATTTTTTTTTTGATTATATACATGTTCTTATGTTGTGTAGAAAGTTTGAGCTAATTCCAATCAAATTTGAATTTTTATGAATTTTACAAAATTTGCGCTATGTAACAGGGTCTTGGCCCAAACTTTATCAAAAGTGAAAAGGAGAAAATTCTCCATTTTATTACATTTTTGATGTACATGTATTTACATGTACATGTTGTTTATTAAGTTTGAGCTGATTCCAATCAAAATTGGATTTTTTATGAATTTTAAAAGTCATGGGCTGTATTGTGATCATACTGATATGTTCTGATATGATATGTATTATGTACTGTAGAGATATTTCCTTGGTTGACCTGAGCATCTGTCATTAAATAGAATAGAAGGAGACAGAAGAGGAAGTACAAATGTATAGGAAACCCTCAGCTACGAGGAGACCAATGAGACATCAAGCATATACTTACGGGTAATGATGGGTATAATGATAGTGAATCCTTGATTATGTTTGCTGAGTTAGCTTTAGTTAGATCTATAAGGACATTTTTGAATTTGTGCTATAGTTATTTACTTTTTGTTTGTATCAGGTATATACAGTGTCACATCCAGGACTATCAGTTCAAGGACTCTAGAGTTAAAGCTAAAATTGAGTAAATGAAAGAAAAGGAGAGGGATGTATGATAGGTAAAAGACAAAGGAAAAGAGAAAGGAAGGAGGAAGAGAGTGGGAGTGAGGCTGAATGTGGATAACTGTATTATCACACATCAGTTCTTTCTTTATTCTTTTCTTCCCTCTACAGCTGCCATGGCTCGCTTCTACAGCTTCAAACTTGTCAACATCATAACTACTGTACATGTATGTGTTCAATAATATTATTTTTTATGGCGTACCATACATGCTGTACTCCAGTAGTACTACAGAATACAGTTCAATAAGTCCATTCTGTTTTGTGGTTCACTGGAAATTAATAATTATTTTTTGTTATTATGCAACTAAAATTTTTTGTTCAGTGCATGTAGCATTCATCACCAGTGGCGGTGCCAGGTCAATGAAACAGAGGGGGCACTATATACAGGAAAGGGCACTATAATGTCAGTCAAGAATGGCTTGGGAGGCATTTAATTAGATTAAAAATACTAGTGCTTTAATTAGAATTTTGCCAACAGGGTGGGCCTGTGCCCTCCAGCCCCCCCCCCCCCCCCCT